AGAGCTTGTAATGGAGAGGGGGGGGTCAAAGGCGGGGATGGGACCTCCATGAGCAAAGACTGTGTCGGTCAGAATGCCACTTGCTTGGGGTTCAGAGAGGGGGCAGCTGTGCCCTTTGTGTGATGTTTGTTGGTTTCTCAGAAACATCTGGTTGGCCACTGTGGAAAATGGAATGCTGAACTTAGACGGGTGCCAAAGGTCATAGTTTGCCTGGGGCATCCAAAGGACTTGGGCCCGACCTGGCTGGGTCACCCTACCAAGTACATTTGGACTTGTGGGTCGCCTTACCAAAAAAGTTGCGAACTGCTGGTCTAGAGAGGTCCTAGATCTCAGGAAGATTTGCACAGAAGGGGTTGGCGTTAACATGTGCGAAACTGTCTATACCATGCAGGGAAGATTCCGCACCCCCTGGGACAGCTGAAATAATCCTCCATGCTGCAAATCAGGCCAAGGTTGCTTCCTGTTTCTAGCCTGGCTAAAGCCCTGGGCCAGTTGAGAATATGGCCCAGGAAGGGGCATCGGAGGAAGATTAAGAACATAAGAGAACATAAGAGAAGCCAGTGTTGGATCAGGCCAGTGGCCCATCCAGTCCAACACTCTGTCACACAGTGGCCAAAAATACCAGGGGCCCTCAGGAGGTCCAGCAGTGGGGCCAGGACACTAGAAGCCCCTCCCACTGGTGCCCCCACCAGTGTTCCCTCTAAGCTGAGTTAGTGTGAGCTAGCTCACAGTTTTTTAGCCTCCGGCTCACACCTTTTTATCTTAGCTCAGGAAGGAGGACTCCAGAGCAAACTAATTTGTGCAACAACCAAATTGCTCACTCATAATTCGGTTAAGTGCGCGGACTCTAATCTGGGAGAACCGGGTTTGATTCCACACTCCTCCACTTGGACCTGGCTGGATGGCCTCTCAGCAGTTTCTCTCAGAGCTCTCTCAGCCCCACCTACCTCACAGGTAGGGCTGCCCAAAGTGTCTCCCCCCTAGGGTTGCCAAGTCATTTTTCTTCTGCGGCGGGGGGCTCCCAGACGGCGTCTTCTGCACGCGCCGCATGCACGTCATCTGGATGTGACGTGATGACGCCGGGCACGCTGGGGGCTCTATGTTTTCCCCTCGGATGGTCATGGCCCCGCCCCCAGCGTGCCCTGCGTCATAACGTCACTTCCTGGTTTGCCAGGTCCGCTTCCTCTGGCAGCTAAACATTGTCAGAAGCTTCTGCCCAAGACCAAACTGGGATATTCATGTCACATCCAAGAAAAGCGGGACTCGCTTGCCAGAGAGAAGCAGAAATAATGTACACAAACGGGGCAGTTCCATGAGCCAATTGGCTAAACCCAATCCCAGTTGTCATAGTTTAAAATGCAATACCGTCTACAAGAAATACCGGGTGGTTTGTCCTTCCTGTGTCCTCCCAGATGTGAGTCAGTGTCCGTTGCGTATCCAGGTAATATCTCCAGAAGAATACTGGCTCAGTGGCAGAACATCTGCTTGGCACGCAGAAGGTCCCTGGTTCGATCCCTGGCATCTCCGGTTAAAAAAAATCAGGTGGTAGGTGGCGTGAAAGACCTCTGCCTGAGACCCTTGGAGAGCCTCTGCCAGTCTGAGTAGACAGTAGTGATCTGGGGCTGTGGCCATGGCTCAGTGGTAGAGCCTCTGCTTGGCATGCAGAAGACCCCAGGTTCAATCTTTGGGGTCTCCAGGTGAAAGGACCAGGCAGTAGATGACGTGAAGGAACACTGCTTAAATCGCTGGAGAACTGTTGCCAATCTGAATATACAATACTGACCTCGACAGACACATGGTTTGATTCAATATACGGCAGTATCGGTTGTGTTTGTATAGCATGCACCAGGAGAAGCACAACAGCCAAAACACGGTCAGTCGTGAGCAAGCAGAATGGGCTGCCGCAAGCACAAGTTCTGGAATTGTTCTGGCCATCTTGGTTGAAATTTTGCTTTTCTGTACAAGTGTCACGTCCTCAGTTTGGTGTAGTGGTTAGGAGCGCGGACTCTAATCTGGGAGAACCGGGTCTGATTCCCCACTCCTCCACATGCAGCTGCTGGTGTGACCTTGGATCAGCCACAAGTTCTCTCAGAGCTGTTCTCTCAGGAGCAGTCCTTGAAAGAGCTTTCTCAGCCCCACTGACCTCACAAGGTGTCTGTTGTGGGGAGGGGAAGGGAAAGGGATTGTAAGCCACACTGAGACTCCTTTGGGTAGTGAAGGGCAGGATATAAAATCCAGTCTGGGAGAACCGGGTTTGATTCCCACACTCCTCCATTTGCACCTGCTGGATGACCTTGGGCAAGCCGCAGTTCTGTCAGAGGTATTCTTAAAAAAGAGCAGTTTCTGTCAGAGCTCTCTCGGCCCCACCTACCTCACAGGGCGTCTGTTGTGGGGAGGGGAAGGGAAAGGAGTTTGTAAGCCGCTCTGAGACTCCTTCGGGTAGTGAAGGGAGGGGTATAAATCTAATCTCCTCCTCCTCCTCCTCCTCCTCTTCTCTCTTCTTCTTCTCTCTTCTTCTTCTTCTTTCTTCTTCTTCTCCTTCTCTCTTCTTCTCCTTCTCTCTTCTTCTCCTCCTGGCCATTCAGGAATTACAAATGGCCCGTTTTGCCCTTCCCTTCCTCTCCACCGCCAGGAGAGGGGTCTCTGGGCGGATTCAGCCGCAGTTTTTGAAAATCTTAGTTCCTAAGAATCCCTTCTCCCCCCTCTGTTGCTCAGTGTTCCTCTGTCTCCCTCCCTTTGCAGTTACTCAAGGAATCACACTTACAACACCTACATCGGAAAAGGCTACGTCATCCCAGGGATGGACCAGGGGCTGCAGGGGGTCTGCATCGGTGAAAAGAGAAGGATCATCATCCCTCCTCATCTGGCATACGGAGAAACTGGGGCAGGTGGGCTGCGGGCGAGCCAGTGGGAGGGAGCGCTTCTCTCTTGCTGCAAATGTGGACCCGTTTGGGGGTCCCCACGTCCCTACCAAGGCCCCCTCTAAGCTGTGGAGACCTGTGAGCAAAAACTCTCCTTTGTGAGCTACTGGCATTAAAGTTGTGAGCCGGCGATTGGGCTGCCGCATCAATCAGTTTGCTCTGGAGCCCTCCCTCCTGGGCCGAGACAAAAATCTGTGAGCTGGAGGCTAAACAGCTGTGAGCTCGCTCACACTATCTCAGCTTAGAGGGAACACTGGAATGGCTACGATCCATACGGGTTCCTTTTGAGTGTACAAAGTATTGGGATATTTAGTTAATATAGCAGAGTTTTGCCCAGTCGTAGAAGTGTGAATACTGAGTGCAGTAAATACATTTCCCAAGAAGGATATTGCAAAGAAGGTAAACTTGCATTTATTCAGTAAAAAGTCTGAGCCCAGTGGCACCTTTAAGACCAACAAAGTTTATTCAAGGTGTGCGCTTAATTTAATTAACTGTAATTTAACCGACCCCCTAAAAATTTAAATGCCCCCCCCCCGCGTGCACAGGAAAGCTCATACCTTGAATAAAACTTTGTTGGTCTTAAAGGTGCCACTGGACTCAGACTTTGTTCTACCACTCCAGACCAGGACAGCTATCCACCTGAATCTATTTACATTTATTCAAGTAGATCCAGTTCACCTTCAGGTCACAGTCGAAAGGAGCGAGAGAAGCCTGATCGAAAGAGGACTTTCCCGGTCACAAATGGGCAGCTTGTCCAGCATCACGTGTGTGGTGGAGTTATGAGGGCATTGTCGCTACAGGAGAGCCCCTGCGGAGACGTGTGCCTCCGTGGAAGGCCATGTGCAGAGAGTGAGAGGACAAAGGGGGAGAGAGAGGAGGGGTCAGAGTGATGTAGCACCCCACCAATGTCCAGGCACGCGGAGTTGCGCACTCCAACAAGAAATACTATAGGACTCCGACCCTTTTTGTGACGCTAGGCAGCCTCAGCTGAATTTATATACGGATCCCATTTCGTTGGCTTTTGGGGCTCATTTTAAGAGACGGGCAGGGCAAGCTGGCAGAACGAACATGGGGGACAAAGGAGGTGTCGGGGGTTTGAAGACACTCACGGCCAACCCTACTGGCCCTCTGCTGGTCTAATCGATCTCCAGGGCAACCTTCTGAAGTAGCAGAACAAAGTTTGAATACAGTGGCACCTTTAAGACCAACAAAGTTCAGTTCTGGGTATAAGCTTTTGTGTGTGTTTGTGTGTGTGTGTGTGCACAAAAGCTCATTCCCAGAGTTAAGCATTGTTAGTCTGAAAGGTGCCGGCAGACTCAAACCTTGCTCTGTTGCTTCAGGCCAATGTGGCTACCCACCTGAATCTATTTTCTGAGGTAGGTCAGACCAGGTTCAAAACTTCTTCTGGGAAGCCCTGGAGTTACTTTGAATTTTATCTAGAGTTTTGTCTACAGAAATATCAGTCAGGCCTGTAGCTACAGTGGGGCATTTTGCCCCCCCCCCAAAAAAAAGCCAGTTTGGTGTAGTGAAGGGAGGGGTATAAATCTAATCTCCTCCTCCTCCTCCTCCTCCTCTTCTCTCTTCTTCTTCTCTCTTCTTCTTCTTCTTTCTTCTTCTTCTCCTTCTCTCTTCTTCTCCTTCTCTCTTCTTCTCCTCCTGGCCATTCAGGAATTACAAATGGCCCGTTTTGCCCTTCCATTCCTCTCCACCGCCAGGAGAGGGGTCTCTGGGCGGATTCAGCCGCAGTTTTTGAAAATCTCAGTTCCTAAGAATCTCTCCTCCCCCCTCTATCGCTCAGTGTTCCTCTGTCTCCCTCCCTTTGCAGTTACTCAAGGAATCACACTTACAACACCTACATCGGAAAAGGCTACGTCATCCCAGGGATGGACCAGGGGCTGCAGGGGGTCTGCATCGGTGAAAAGAGAAGGATCATCATCCCTCCTCATCTGGCATACGGAGAAACTGGGGCAGGTGGGCTGCGGGCGAGCCAGTGGGAGGGAGCGCTTCTCTCTTGCTGCAAATGTGGACCCGTTTGGGGGTCCCCACGTCCCTACCAAGGCCCCCTCTAAGCTGTGGAGACCTGTGAGCAAAAACTCTCCTTTGTGAGCTACTGGCATTAAAGTTGTGAGCCGGGCATCAATCAGTTTGCTCTGGAGCCATCCCTCCTGAGCCGAGACAAAAAATCTGTGAGCTGGAGGTTAAACAGCTGTGAGCTCGCTCACACTATCTCAGCTTAGAGGGAACACTGGAATGGCTACGATCCATACGGGTTCCTTTTGAGTGTACAAAGTATTGGGATATTTAGTTAATATAGCAGAGTTTTGCCCAGTCGTAGAAGTGTGAATACTGAGTGCAGTAAATACATTTCCCAAGAAGGATATTGCAAAGAAGGTAAACTTGCATTTATTCAGTAAAAAGTCTGAGCCCAGTGGCACCTTTAAGACCAACAAAGTTTATTCAAGGTGTGCGCTTAATTTAATTAACTGTAATTTAACCGCCCCCTTAAAAATTTAAATGCCCCCCCCCGAAATCCTGGCTACAGGCCTGAGATCAGTGATGGTGGACAAGATACCCTGAAAGGTGGCCTGCCTACCATTGCTAGCCTTCCTCTACAACACAAATTTACAGAGGATCTAGATCTCCCTCCCTTCAGGGAATGTTCTAGCTCTCCCTCCAAGGAATGTTCTCGATCTCCCTCCAGGAAATGTTCTAGATCTCCCTCACTTCAAGGAATGCTCTAGATCTCCCTCCCTCCAAGGAATGTTCTAGATCTCCCTCCCTTCCGGGAATGTTCTAGCTCTCCCTCCCTTCAGGGAATATTCTAGATCTCCCTCCCTTCAGGGAATGTTCTAGATCTCCCTCCCTGCAAGGAATGTTTCTAGCTCTCCCCCCTTCAGGGAATGTTCTAGCTCTCCCTCCCTTCAGGGAATGTTCTAGCTCTCCCTCCCTTCAGGGAATGCACACAGTGAGGTTCTAGAGCCCTATTTAGTGCCCTGCACCAGTCGAGAATGTGCCCAGGAACCACCTGCTGTGTTCAGGGATGCCATGGCAGATGTGCTGTGGTTCTTCAGCAGGTGTGGGTGTCGAAAGTGTTCCCTGAAGGTGAGAAATTTGAAACCTTTTGGGTCAGACCGTGAAGCAAAGAGTTTATAACAAAGGGGTACTGGCACCCCAAACGTCTTTGGCAATATTGCAAAAGATCTTGGAGCACATCTTTTCAAACTATGTTGGGCTACGGCTGAAAGGCAGCAAAAAAAAAATTGGGTCAGCCATTTTTACTCTTGGCATCAGCATCTGTTCTTCGCATCTTCCAGGGGACAAGATCCCCGGTTCAGCCGTCCTCATCTTTGATGTCCACGTCATCGATTTCCACAACCCCGTGGACTCTGTGGCGATCGAAACAGTCTACCGGCCGACGGACTGTAACGTCACCTCTCAGAACCGAGACTTCGTCCGCTATCACTACAACTGCTCTCTCCTGGACGGCACCCGGCTCTTCTCCTCGTGAGTCTTTTGATCAGAGTTTGGTTCATTTCAGCTCCTAGAGCCATCACAAAATGCCCAAGCCAGTTTCCTGAAATGGGAACGTCAAACAGTACACATTCATACAAACAGGGTGTTTTTGATTTTAAAAGTTCTCCATACAGCAAATATACATATCTAGTCAGTTTGGTGTAGTGGTTAAGTGCGCAGACGTTAATCAGGGAGAACTGGGTTTGATTCCCCACTCCTCCACTTGCAGCTGCTGGATGACCTTGGGTCAGTCACAGTTCTCTGAGAGCTGTTCTATCAAGGTCGTAGCTGTTCTCTCACGAGCAGTTCTCTCACTACAGACACCCTCTCAGCCCCACCTACCTCACAGGGTGTCTGTAGTGGGGAGGGGAAGGGACGAGATTGTAAGCCGCTCTGAGTAAAGGTAGTAAAGGGCGGGGTATAAATCCAATCTCTTCTTCTTCTCCGTCTCCTTTCAGCATCAGCTAACCCTAAGTAAATTCCAATACTAACGTGGGACTCCTGAGCGAATTTTATAGTTCTGGAGGCCCAGCTGAAGGTTTGTAATGCCGGTACCCAAAACAGCTCTTTGCTTTGCTTCCAACTATCTGGAGCAGAATTAGGGTTGACGGAAGGGGGGGGGGAACTCAACCCAAAATCAGCTGTGAACTAAGAGGGTCAAGCTAACAACTATATTATATAAAAAATACAAATGTTTATTAGGGTGTACACATAGCTAAAACATACTGCAGTTAAAAGAAATAGTCTAAGTCTCAGACTTAAAAGGCTTATACAACCAAGTTAGTTGTTATACAAATACAATTGATGGGTAAAACTTTTTGACCTAAGGACCATACGCGTTTCGGCCCCTTCGGGCCTTCCTCGGTGGTCAATATTCTTTATATTACAATGACACACATCCAGAAATACACGCATAAAATACATCCAGAAATACACACCGTACCAATTCTTCAAATTATTCTGGTGTCAAAGATTCTGTTTGTCAGGAGGTGTGTCACTTCGATCAAAGGTAGTGGTCAAGTAATAATTTGAAGAATTGGTACGGCTACTATCTATGGCGTACTATACAAACTTGTAGCAATTGCAAAAGCATATAAGAAAACAACATCTGGTCATATATATATAAAATTTATGCGTGTATTTCTGGATGTGACTTAGAGACTTAGACTATTTCTTTTAACCGCAGTATGTTTTAGCTATGTGTACACCCTAATAAACATTTGTATTTTTTATATAATATAGTTGTTAGCTTGACCCTCTTAGTTCACAGAATTAGGGTTACCAGGTCCCCTCGTCGCTCTGGCAGGGGGATTTGGGGGGTGTTAAAAGGCCTTTTTGCAAGCCAAGCGTGCAGCCCGCGCCCCTCTAATCCCTCCTTCCTGCTTGATTTAAAGGGCCCTCCAGCTGATTGGCCAGCCACGTGGTCCCCGCCGATCAGCTGAAGCCCTTTAAATCTGGCAGGAGGGGAGGGAGATGGGTGGCCGGGTGCGTGGTCGCTCTTGGGGGCGGGGCTTGGGGGCGGGGGTGGATTGGAGCCCCCAAAAGCGGGGGAACCCCCCTACCCATACCTGGAGGCTGGAACCCTAAGCAGAATATAAAATAGTTGTATACAAAGGCATAAAATATAATTTATAAAGCCTGTAGCATCCAGGTTTTCTTAGAGTAGGGCTCTCTAGGGTAGAGTTCCTAGAGAAGTCAACTCAGCCCCAAGTTCATGTGCGTTCTGAGTCTCCCACCTAGTAAATACTGTCAAGAGAACTTCTCTAGTTTCTGTTCCCTCTTGGCAGCCATGACTACAAACACCCTCAAGAAACCACGCTGGGTACCAACAAGATAATCGAAGGCCTCAACAATGGTCTCCTCGATATGTGCTTGGGAGAGAAACGGATCGTCATCGTCCCTCCACATATGGGACACGGTGAAAGCGGTGGTGAGGCATTCTGGGAATCAGGGTGGGCCCTTTCCATGTACTTATTGTGAAATTGCCAGGGTTCTGTTCTCACCGGGGCAGCAGGGGGGGTAATTTAGATGTAGAGGTCAGCATTGCAAGAATCTCAGCCCAAGGCTGCAAAAAGAGTGTATAGTGTTCATTTGCAGTGCCTAAAGAAATCTGACGAAGCCGAGAGAGAGAAGAGGGAATGGTGATTTAGCTGAGAGGGTACTGTGTGGGGGGACTGTGTTTGGGAGTGTGTGGGTCAGTTGTTGCAGAGTCCTGGCTGCTTGAGATAGGGTGTGAAAGGGTCATTGTTTGACTGTAATTGAGTGCCTGGGTGAATTTGAATAGCTGCTGGCCACATACGTTATGTTCTTAATGGTGGTGAATAGAAGACGGCACATTAGCGCGTGCCTGATGTCTTGCCTCTTCACCCAAAGATTAGCGGAATCAATGAAGCTGAGCAAGATAAGCAGATTGCCTTCATTTCTGTGGTCTCCGCATGCAATTGAAAAATTGATTCTATTTTTAGCACGGACCATAACTAGCTTTGTTACCTGCTCAGCTCTTTTCTTAGGAATGATGGGAGCACCTATATTTATAGGCCCTGATTTCTGAGACATGGAAGTCACATCCTGTGATGTCACTTCCTAACGGAGGAAGTGGTTCCCCTAGATTTGATTCTGAGTCACTGCTGGTCAGCAGCATCATGCATCTCATCTTGCAATGCTGATTCTCCCCCCCCAAAAATAAATAAATAAATAAGGGGCTTTCCTTTTCTGTTGCCACTGCTGAAAGTGATTCTGGGAAGCCATTAATCTTCCTTCCCTAGCACCATTGTCCCAATGCAAATGGGTGGGGGATGCTTTTGACTGTTAGAGAAAATGGCAGGAGAATTGACCATGTGAGGCACAGTTTGGACCACAAAACCCTTGTGTTTCCAGCTCGAGGTGTACCCGGCAGTGCTGTTCTCCGCTTTGAGATAGAACTTCTGCACCTGGAGGGAGGCGTTCCAGAAGGGTACCTGTTCATCTGGCATGGCGAGCCACCTGCGAACTTGTTTGAAGCCATGGATCTCAACAAGGATGGTGAAGTCCCACCTGAAGAGGTGTGATCTGTGTTAAGAAAGGGCAGAACTAACTGGGGGAAGGCCGGGCTTTTATTATTCTGGAGTACCAACCATTACTTCTGGGATTCTGTTTTTTCTTTTGTGGTATGGCTGCCAGGTTTCTTCTTACCTGCGGCGGTGGGCTCCTGGCTCCTCGTTTAAGGTTTTCTGCCGTGTGTGCATAGCGCACACAGCATGATGACATCACCAGTACTGACGCCATCATACTAGGGCCATTGCACGGCGATGCTCTAGCATTCAGGGCAAAACTCTATAGTAACCAGAGAGTCCCGTCCCCTCCCGAATGCTAGAGCGTCACCACACGATGGCCCCAGCATGAGGATGTCACTACCGGTGATGTCATTGCTTCAACGGTGTCCGCATGGGACGCTGCTGTTCGGGGGTGGGGCTTCCCCTATCGGCCGGCTGTCTGGTGGCGGATTGGGCCCCCCAAAATTGGGGGGTCCCCTGGTCCCACCAGGGGGATGGCAACCCTATTTTGTGGCCTAATTGCTTCCAGCACAGACTACTTCCCATTTGGCTGGGAATGGAAGTTAACCATAGCTTGAGGATCTGGGTTTTCACTCCTCTGAAGAAGTAGTATTGAATTGTATCTAAGAACGCAAATCTCTGCATTTGTGATCACTAGAGGAAGCAAGAGCAAATTACATTCCCATTCTAAGCAATGCTCCCTCTAAGCTGTGGAGTCTTGTGAGCAAAAGTTCTACTTTTGAGAGAGAGCCAGTTTGGTGTAGCGGTTAAGTGCGTGGACTCTAATCTGGGAGAACCGGGTTTGATTCCCCACTCCTCCACTTGCACCTGGCTGGATGACCTTGGGCAAGCCATCGTTCTGTCAGAGCTATTCTTGAAAAAGAGCAGTCGCTGTCAGAGCTCTCTCAGCCCCACCTACCTCGCAGGGTGTCTGTTGTGGGGAGGGGGAGGGAAAGGAGTTTGTAAGCTGCTCTGAGACTCCTTTGGGTAGTGAAGGGTGGGGTATAAATCCAATCTCTTCTCTTCTTCTACTTTGTGAGCTACTGGCATTAAAGTTGTGAGTGAGCGATTTGGCTACTGCATAAATTAGTTTGCTCTGGAGCCATCCTTCCTGAGCTAAGGCAAATATGTGTGAGCAGGAAGCTAAAAAACTGTGAGCTAGCTCACACTAACTCAGCTTAGAGGGAACACTGATTCTAAGTAGAGTTACACCCTTCTAAGCCCATTAACTTCAACAGATATAGAACTGGTTAGCTCTGTTTAGGATTGTATTGTAGATTTAGCAAAAAGCCAAAATAATTAGCAGTATTTTGCCTTAATATGCCCTATGGTCTAGAGCCATGCAAATCAATGCACTTTTAGTAATATTGTCATTTTTTTATTTTTTAGCCCCAGGTTACATAATGTTTCCCAGCATGCATCTTGTTCACTGTGAAACAACAGGTCAGTGATTGAGGCAGGAGAAGATGGCATCGGTACCTTGAAACGTCATGTGTTCTGTAGGCCATTCCCCCTTGGTGGAGAATAGTGGGAACCTTTGATCTTCTCTCCAGTTATCCCTTCTTCTTCTTCTTCCTCGCCCCCTTTTGCAGTTCTCAACGTTCATCCAGTCCCAGAGGGCAGAGGGCAAAGGTCGTCTCATGCCAGGTTCTGAGCCAGAAAAAGTGATCACCGACATGTTTGAAAACCAAGACAGGAACAAGGACGGAAAAATCACAGCAGACGAACTGAAGCTGAAGTCGGATGAGGACGACGCTCCAGCCCATGAAGAACTTTAAAGGAGAAAACTTTGGGAAGGGGGGGGGGGGTTCCGGCTTTTTTACAATTTTTTAAAGCACTCCAGTTTCCCTGCCTTTTGTGGCCAGAGTGTTCCCATGAGAGAAGGGGGCACGTTTTGTACATCGACATTGTTTTTGAGAACTATTTAATTGAGATCTAGTTTGAGCAGACCAAAGCCGGGGGGGGGGGGTTTACTTGGCCTTGGGAGATTTCTTGATCCAGTTCCCAAATCCCCCACCCCTGTCCAGTCAAATCCTCAAGCACATGTCTACATCAGATTGTCCTCAGCATAATTGTGATGTCAGTTCATTTGTTTGTTCTGTCAGATCCAGAAGTTGTGTCTGGGGGTGCTGTGTGTACTCCTGACCCAGTCGATGAAGCCAGATTCTACTGTGGGGCCATCCAGACTGGGCGATTGGAACCAGATGGGCCATTTCAGTACGCTTTGCTTATTCTGCTTCCAGATTAGCAAAGCCCCGAAGGTGTTGTGTGTGCGGGCAAAGGACACGAGGAAGGGGAGGAGCCAAATACGGCTGGCATCCTGCTCCCTCGTTTCTCTTATCCAGGCATGATACTGTGCCCCTAAAGACCAGCATCCCGTGAAAAATAAAATGAAAACAAATACAGCCTTTTCCTAATTACTGAATCTCTACAATGGGGAGTCTGCATCTCTTGAGTTTTTGCTTCTCGGGCAGTCGTAAAAAGGCCCGAGAGCAGGGCTATTTTGGGGCAGGAACGCACAGGAACGGAGTTCCGGCTGGCTTCAGAGTTGGCCACGCCCACTACAGCCAAAACCTCTGCATGAGTGGCTACAGAGGGAAGGCCTGGAGAGCGACACCACCACCCCGCGACTCCGAGGCGGGCGGGCTGGGGAGGGGCGGAAGGATTGGGGAGGCATTTAAATGCCTCCCCTGGCCTGTCCAAGGGCCGGCTTTGCCCAGGCTCCCGGCAGTTCCAGGGCACCCAGGCAAGCCAAAGGAAGGCAGATTAAACTGCCTTCCCTTCCCTTCAAGGGGGGCAAGCCAAGGGAAGGCATGGGGTGTGGCCTAATATGCTAATGATCTGCACTGTCAGGGGTGTGGCCTAATGTGCTAATAAGTCTCTGCTGTTGGGTGTGGCCTGTTATGCTAATGAGTTCCTGCTGGGCTTTTTCTACCAAAAAAGCCCTGCCCGAGAGCCTTGTCTGTAAAAAAGGAAAATAAAAGCGCAACCTCAGGTGAATGTTAAGGTGTGGTGGGCAGGGAATGTGTGGATGTTACCGTGTTTCCCCGAAAATAAGACACTGTCTTATATTTGTTTTTTCTCAAGAAGACATACTAGGGCTTATACCATAAATGCATAGAAATCCTGCTAGGGCTTATTTTTGGGGTAGGTCTTATCTTCGGGAAAACAAGGTATGTGCCGTGACGTCTCTTCCCACTTAGGGCAAGCCTGTGAATTCATGTCCTCCAAAATGTCCTCTCGTTCACAGCCTGGCTCAGGCCTTGCAGACCGAGGGCGTTTGTGGCTTCCTTGATGGAGTCAATCCATCGCAGGTTGGGCCTTCCTCTTTTCCTGCTGCCTTCAGCTTTTTCCGAGCATTCATTCTTTTCCAGTGACTCTTGTCTTCTCATAATGTTACCAAAGTACAATAGCCTCAGTTAAGAGAAGAAGAAGAGAAGAGTTTGGATTTATAAGTGCGCGGAATCTAATCTGGGCAAACCGGGTTTGATTCCCCACTCCTCCACTTGCACCTGGCTGGTGTGACCTTGGGCAAGCCATAGTTCTGATAAGAGCTGTTCTTGAAAAAAGAGCTTTGCAATTTGAAAGATTGAAGGTCAAAGAAGACAGGGACGGCAAAGGATGAGATGGTTAGACAGTGTCATCGATGCAACGAACATGAAATTGAGCCAACTTCAGAGGACAGCGGAAGACAGGAAGGCCTGGCGTGATCTGGTCCATGGGGTCGCGGAGAGTCGGACTCGACTGTGCGACTGATTAACAACAACTAATCTTTGCAATTCCTTTTCTGAAGACGGGGATTAATTTCCTTGAACCAGCTTTCAGACATCCTTGTTTAAAAAAGCCTAATTTAGCAGCTCATGAGTAGGCAGCTCAAGCAAACAGATGAAGTGTGGCATCCGGCCATAACAGACTCACAGCAATCCCATGAAGTTCCATCTCATGGGGTTTTCAAGGGAAGTGATGAGCGGGGGGTGGGGTGGGGTGGCCATGGCCTTCCTCTACAGAGTCAGACAGACAACCTTTATTGGCATATCAGAGATTAAAAGTACATTAAAATGTAGGAATACATCAGTTTATAGTTTCCCTGATTCGAATTGCAGATTGAAGAAAACAGGCAACATTAAAAGTTATAGAAGAGTTTTGCCCTGAGAGTAGCAACTGGACCTTGACACTCTCAGGGAGACCACGCCACGTGAAAAGGAGGGTGTCCAGAAATTTATCCCAGGTCTTAGTATAAAATGGACAATTTAAAAGAATGTGGGAAACAGATTGGATGGCACCCTGACTACAAGGGCCTAAGTTCATAAGGGATTTTATGCAGGGGTCATTTTGTAGAAAAAGAGGTGCAGGAGCTCATTAGCATAACTTATTTGTATATGCCACACCCCCTGACATCACCAGGAGTGTGTCAGAAGGCAACACCCACTGCTCAGGCTCCACTGGACTGTTTTGGATGGCTAGCTATTGGGGGGG